TCCAGCCGAACGCTGACGCCACGTTCGGTTATGTCGGCCGAGCGCTGAATCATTGTATTTGTTGTCCCCATCCCTGTAGTTGTGAAGTTAACCGCTTGGAGCGTCACGGTCGCTCCTCCTCCCCAATACGAATGACAAATCACACGCCTTTTTCATCTATTACGACACTTTCCTCAATATCCACGCGATGTCTCCACTTTATATGCATGTTGCGACAAGGCGCAGGCGATCCGTGTCGCGCTTGGTATTACAAAAACGGCCGCCGCATCATGTTCTCTGATGTGATTATGACGGCGATACTTCACTTCAATTAGCATTTCATACAGATAAGTACTCGGCTTTTCTTTTGGTCTGTGACCCGATATCAATTGACATCGCTTTTTCTGTTCCCTGGAATCCGTGTCGGTGAAATAACATCCGTTGTAGCTCCCGATGGGATATATCTGCATTCCTTTACTTCCCAAGCGACTTTTTGTGCCAGTGTTCAACTATACTTCGTTTCACCTTATGTGCGAGCGAAGGCAAAGCTGGAAGCGCGAGCACGAAAGCTCCGTGCGTTCAGGCTTTGCTCGAGCGCGCGAGCTGGGGAGAAACGCAAAAAGCGCTGGTCTCGCTCTTTTAGCTTTGGCTTCGCTCGCAGATAAGGTGAAACGAAGTATAAAACAACCTTGTCGCGTGCTGATCTTTTTTTTTTTTTCGAGGTTAGGGCGTTGTGCATTATATATCATACACAATATACAGTGTTCCTGATTGGCACAGCTTTCTGGGCCGGTTTGCTAGAGACAGCGTCTCAGCTGAGACTGGGTGAAAAAAAGCACCGGAAAGGCCTGGGCGCGCGAGCGTCTTGAGACGCGGTTTGAGTGGGCTCGTGCGAGCTGGCTTTGGCAGTGCTTTCTTCCACCCGGTGTCTCAGCTGAGACGCTGTTTCTAGCAAGCCAGCCGGCCCTGGTCTCCTCTGTGTGGCGGCGCGCTATAAAATAACACTCAAAAGAACCAAAAGTTCGTCTACGTGTGTCACAATTGCGAACTGTGGGTGGTTGAACGATTTACGGTGTCGCTTCAAGCTGGTTCTGTCTCTATCTTGTTTTTTTTCTTTTTGTGTTGGTTGGCTGTTCTCCCGTCCGGTCAAAGGAGACACGCCTAATAATTTACGGGCTGCGTCTGGCATTCCAATTTTCTAAAAAAAATCGCGCGTTTAAAAGAATTTTTTTTTTCGCGTGATTGTGGCTTTATTGGTGGTTGCCTCTATGAAATATGAAGGTTTTTTTTTTATATCTTTTCTTCGAAGGGGAAGACGAGACGGGAGAAAGACAAACTTTGCGGCGCGATGTCGTAAATGTCGAAAAAAAAAAAAAAAATGCATCGCGTCAATGCGGAGGCGGCGGTTTGGGCCAATGTTCGTGTCGAGCCCACTAGGGACTATTTAAAAAGACGTCCACTATAACGGCACTGTCTGGACAGTGCCCGTAATTATATCTGACTGACTTATCGGAATTCCCATCCCCGGAGAGCGTGTCCAACAAAGCTGGGTTGGTCGTGTTCGGAAACGTTTTTTTTCGGCTTTTCGTTCTTCGGTTCTTGGAGAGAGCAAGTGCGGCGTCCCCTTAATAAAGATTTTGTTTTGTTTTGCATAAGAAATTTTTGGAAGAGAGAGAGAAAGAAGCGGGAGGGCGAACGAACAAAATGTTTGGAAATGCGGGCACTCGCGAATCTTTTCAGAACGGACTTTGCTTGAAGTGCATCCGGATGGATGGATGGATGGTAATGGCTATACCCCTTGTAACGGGCGGCAGCTTGCGCCACCTAGCCTAACATTCGAACTGTTTTTTTTTTCCTTTTTTTTTCCGTTCTAACTGTGTGTTTTTCTTCCTTTTTTTTTTACGGGAAACTTAAAAAAAAAAAGGACTTGCTACGGAGTTCAGTCACATGCTATGTGCAATAATGTTTGCGCCACTAATCGAAAAAAAAAGGCTCATTGTGCACTCGTATTTTTTTATTTTTTTTTTTTGTAATGATTTTACACTGGTCGTACCTACAGTATACTGCAATTAGTTCGGTATTTATTTAGAAAGATCGCACTAACCGGCATCGAAATCTAGCCGATTTGAAAACAAGACGTATTTCAGGTGAATATCTACTGCCTAACCGAATGAGCTGCCCTCCGTACCAACTCTTCGCATCTCTATACAGACCTGTTACTGGCATTTATGTGGCCGATCCAGTAACTCGTGTACAGCATTGCCAGGATTCAAATAGTGGATGAAATAGCAACATGCTTTGGTTTGATCGACTTTCGTATTAATATCGCAACCAAGTAGTTGGCTGCTCATGAGGTCCTAAAATAAGCAACTGTATTGAATTGAACTCGTCTCTCCCCCGAATAAATTTGTCTAAGACACAACCATCTCGCCCTTGCCACTGCTGCTGCCTCTTTATTGAATCCAACGTACAGCTGCAACGGAAAAAGAGTAGCACAAGTGAACGATGACCGGAGCGGCAAAATCGCGACAGGCGGCGCTATTGTTCCCGAGCGCGCCGATAGCGAGAGTGCCCAGTCACGTTCCATATCTGAACGCGGGGGTGGCCGGCAAAAAACAGCCCATCCTAAAGCCCTCATTTTAACAGCTATCTTATCTCTTAATTTTCTGCCGGCCACCCCCGCGTTGAGACATGGAACGTGACTGGCACTCTCGCTATCGGCGCGCTCGGGAACAATAGCGCCGCGTGTCGCGATTTTGCCGCTCCGGTCGTCGGTCACTTGTGCTACTCTTTTTCCGTTGCAGCTGTACCTCGGGCAAATCGCAGCGTGCTTTGAAAACAACATCAACAACAAAAGCGTAAATTATGACATCGAACTTACCAATACTACACGGCATGTAGAGAGATGAGTTGTCTCGTATGTAAAATAATTGCTGTTTCTTTCTGCGCTTTGTTGTATGCTGTCGTCTCCCTAGGTTCACGTGAACTTTTACGGGAATTCGTACGCACTGTGCACACCCTTTTGCGAGTTGCTGCTTTGGTTTGGTTTATAGTTTGCTTACAGGTTGTGCGTATTGCCGAGGTGAATTCGTGAAAAAAAGTTGACCTCTCCCCCTTCGTCCTTTTGCTGTGTGTTCCTGAGTCTTTGGTCATCAGGAACAGTCCCTGGTTGGCTGGTTTTTCTTAGAAGTATCGTTACAGTTTTCAAAGTGGCACTAGGCGCTATAAAACGAACCGAGTTCCTTACGCGGCTTCATCTCAACATCTGAATCGAAACGGTTCCCGTTTGAGTCGTTCCCACCACCGTATACGTGACGTCATCGGGTCTTCCTGGTGGTCCTTCTGTACATGTTTCTTGCCGAGACAAACGCGTTCAGTGGTGCACCGCAGTGTCCACCGATGTCACGTCGGTGCAAGCCGTACCTGGCAAGAGAACGGCGAGGAGTCTCCTTGCCTTCCGTCGTGCTTTAACTGCGCGTCTACGAGGCTCACGAAACGCCGAAGCATTATCCATCGTGCCCTATTTCTGGTGCTTTGTGCTTCGAAAATTAGCTCTAGAGCCGAGGGCTCGTCCCGTCTATTATTATACACCGCGTTGCGTCTACGGAGCGAACGATTCATCTTCGGCGATATGGACACGGTGTTCTTTTGGCCCGCTCTGTTCGATTCGTTTCGAGCGTTCTCCTCTTTGCGCGGGTGGTCCATCGCTTTGGCGGAAAGTGCACTGTTGTGTCCGGAGAGCCGACCTTGGGGCAAATGGGAATTGGGCTCCGGTTTGGAGAAGTTTCTGCAGCCGCTTTGGCGTCGTCCTTTGCGAGCCATTTCTTTCCTCGAATGTTGACGGAAACAGAGCTCATATCACTCTGCACCAGAATTTCTTCCCCGAAAAGCCTCGTGAGAGTTCCAACGTACCCAGCTGGATTCTCAATAAGCGGGGTGGGGGATACCGTGCGTTGCTTTGCGTGGAAAATTCTGGGGGGGGGGGGGGGGGGGGGGGGGGAGGAGGGGGAGGGAGGAGGAGGAGGAGGAGGAGTATCATCATAGGTCTGTGTACTTTGCGTAGAAAATTCTGGGGGTAGGGGGAAGTACCATAGGTTTGTGTACTTTGCTTTAGGAAATTCTGGTTGGGGGGGGGGGGGGGGGGAGAAAGAGAAGGAGGTTTTTTTTACTTGTATTTCAAATTTAACTCCCATTTCTAAACCTTATGACGTTAGGGAAAGGGAGCGCTGGAAAATTCCATTTAATCGCACGAACTACGGGTTTCAAATGTTAAGCTATAATCTTCCACTTGTCTTAAATAAAGTTGAAAAACAAAATTTGTCAAACATTGAAAACCTACATCTCAATGAAATTCGAGAACTTTGTTTTCACAAATAAAAAATAAATTGTCTTTGTGAGCTGTAAATGCATCCGGTTTATATATTTTTGTTTCCTGTATACACCCAGTCCCTAGATGCTGTCGTTTCTTTTCGTTCTTTGTGTAAGAGGTCAAATCCTTCCTCTAACAGCAAATAGAGTATATAAGTGTTTTTTTCCCCATGTCGCTGTCTGCTTGTTTTCCCCGGTTGCTGTTGTTTGTTACCGTATGCCAATTGTAAGGCTGCAGAGGCCTTGTCAAGTCAAAACTGTTTTGACTTTTTGCCTCTGCAGCCCACATCACTATTTGATGATGATGTAAATAAAATTGATTGATTGAGGTTATTATAGCTTTATGCACATTGCGTAGGAAATTCTTGTGGAAGGAGCGAATGTACCATGGGGTTGTGCACTCTGCGTAGAAAATTACGAAAAAATAAAAATCCCGAGCATCGCTTTTTTTTTAAAGAGATAAGTGTATATTACTGGTTCGAACTTCTTGCATTCTCGCTCAGATGCTCAGTTATTCCTTGTTTCTATGGCCTCGAAATTCCCTACCTCTGGCGTCAGCCGTGTCGGGGAAGATGTCGTGTTGGGATGCGTTCTTTCGCGCCGGAGTCGTGTGTGAAGCATTCGTGCCTCGCGGTCTGTAAGTGCCCCTGCCCGAGCTACTCATTGCGGTGCGTGAAATGCTGGGCTAGGCTTGCAGCAGGCAGCGCGCGCGCGCTATGAGCCCGAGAATTGCGTTGCTTCAGTAGGGCGCATCTCTGGGCTGCCTGCTGCCAGCCGCCCTCTCGTCTGCTGCCGGGCGTCGTGTGCGGCTCGGCGATTGGTCGGTCCCGGCCCGACCCGAGCCAATCGGAGGCCGGCGTCGCAGACGACGCCAGGGGTCGCCGCTGTTGCTGTGCGCGCCGTCGTTTCCCTTCTTTCCTCGCTTCTCGGAGAGGGCAAAAAAAAGCGGCGAAAAGAAGGCAAAAAGAGCGGCTTTTTTTCTTGGTATTTTTCGGACGAGTGGCGAAACTTTATGTTGGTTTCCTCCGAAAGGACAGCGCTGGCGGCGGATTGAGGCGTCCACGATGGGAATGATTCCGTGAAAGCGACGGCGCGTGCTGCTGGCTGGCCCTCGGCGGATCGGATTATTACCTGGTCGAAGCGTCGTGCTGCCGCCGTGTTGTGCCCGCGCGAGTGAGTGCGTGTGTGTGTGTGTGTGCCGCTTGGGCCTGAATGGTGCCCCGTTGTCTCCATGGTGGTCGCCCGCAGTGACGGCGCAGCGGCAGCGGGGATGGACACGCCGGACGACCCCGTCCTGCTCGCCAAGCAGTCCGACTGGACCAAGGGAAGCAGCCAGCTCTTCTACCTGGACACCATCCGCGTCAAACGTGAGTACCTTCGGGCTGGCTCTGTTTGTTTCCATCGCCGCCTGGGATGCTTGTTTTTGCTTGGATCGGTCGTCGCTGCGCGAGCTTGCGATCGTCGCCGCGGACCGGCGCCACCGTCGTCGCCCACGTTTTGCTTTGTGCGTTGCTGGGCCGCCGCTGGCGCGAGGCGGCGCGCGAGTCGCCGCCCGCCCACTCTCGCCGCCAGGGGGAGCTGCCGCGCTTCCGGTAGAGGGGGGAGAGGAGATGAACGAAAAAGAGAGAGGAGGACTCCATTGTGGCGGCGTCGGCGTTGTCGGCGCCGTCAAAGGTCTCTGGCTTTCGGGCAGCCTTTGCTTCCTACCTACTTCGGCGGAACTGCATCGTTCCAGTTTCGTTAGGGGTGTTTATAATTTTTTCGCTTGGGAATCGGGTTATTGAACCATTTAGCCTAGCTTTTCAATATTTGGTATCTCTATCCATGCCGGAAATTAAGCAAGCTTGGAGTAGAAAAATTAATGAATTTCAGCACCAAACAACATGCCCTGGCAAAAAAAAGAAAGGGGAGTTTAGGAACTTTACCGCTAAGGTGCAATCGAGGAAACTATTTCTCCCATTGCGTTAAAAAAAAAAAAGGCCCTCTATTGCAGTGAGGCTGCTTGAACTAAACTGCGATCCCTCTCCGATTCGAGGCTTTTCCGTTCGCAGTAATACTTTTTTTTTTTTTTTTTTTTTTTTTTTTTTTTTTTTTTTTACGTGTACTTGGTCCCAAAGTCGTAAACAACGACTGGCGTGAGCATGTAAAACATGACTGGCTTAAGCAAGGTTCTAACGTTTAAAGGACAGAGGACATGTGCTTGAGGCACGCGACACACCTCTCTCTCTCTCTCTCTTTTTCTCTCGATAGCGAATGCACACTTGTGCCCTTGACCTAAATTTCAAATCTTATCTCTTGCTTTTATAAAAAAAAAGGCTATCTAACCGGATTATAGGCTCATAAAATGGTGCTGCTTATTTTGTTTCTGTATAGATGTAATCGGTTCCTTTTATTGGAGGCTTTCATGTAAGTGCGACAAATAGGTTAGATATAAATTATAAAACATGTGTGCAGCAAAAAAAAAAAGAAAAAGAAAGATATGATGCCTTTGGCCATCTTCCTCCGTTCTCCCTACTAGTGGCATAATGATCCGAAAATTTGAGGGAATGTTATGAATAGATAGCTAGATGTATATATGGTTCGGAAAGCCTGCATGGTGTCAGATACGACATAAATCCGTCCGCTTTTGAAAATGCGCCATTGACTCACTCAGGGTCACATAGAATGAGCGAATTTCTGTTTGTATCCGATTAGGAGGAATCTCACTATCCTCTCGCGCAGTTTTGTACGGTCTCACCGAAGATCTCACGCACGGCGGTAACAGCAGTTCGACCAACAATGTGCTTAGGGGTATTTGAACTTGAATTATATCGGTAACATTACACTTGTGCCCTTACAGATGTGTGTGGTCACAACTTAAAAAAAAATAAATAAATAAAGCAACGCGGTGCGCGTTTATCCGTGGACGTAAGCTTGTCTCTGTGTTGTAAATAAGGGATGGTTTGCGCACTGCCTGGGAGGACCAACGATTTCTATGAGAGTACTGAAATTGAGCTAACATAACAAGTTAACCGATGCGCGAAACCATGCAACCAATATACTATCACCTGTGATCTTTACTCGTCTTTAGATGTACACCTGGGAGGCTGGGCAAATAGTAACTCAACATCGACAGTGACCTCGTTTCAAAGGCTCTATCTTAACGGACGAAAATAGTAAAACCTAAACCACATTCTTTTGACGAAAGGCATTGATGAATGAGTCGTTTAATATAACCTTATGCTTAACAACCTGACGGCAGCATAGCTTGAAAAATGAGCGGAGAAGTTGAACGCGATAAGGGTGTAGTAGTTAACTCCTTGTGTGACGATACCTATGGAGTCATGATAGCGATACCCGACTCTTCACCGATGGCTTTGTTCGTGCATCGTATCGTTATCAGGTAGAGGTATCGGAACGATTGACCAAACTCCGTATTATAGACACCTCTGTTTCCCCTCCCACAAAATCGTCCCTGATGTGAGTCGTCCACGATAGGGGGACAAGTATGGCTGTATTTATTACCCAGTTCGTTTCTGAAATGTTTGTCTCTCTAGCGGGGGGTGTCCTTATTCGGGAAATTTCGTATGGATCGTTTCCGCAGTCTCGCAACGCTCTCTGCTACCCGCCACGATACCCGAAACTCTACAGTCAAGGTCATCGGCGCGCAGGCGCAGTAGCGGCTTCTTCGTTGCGGAGGGCTTAGCGGAGGGGGGAAACGCGGTCTGCGAAAACTCCCTGTGAACGAGACGCTACTACCTAATTGCAGCAAACTGAAAGCATTGGAGACGGATTAGAAGGGGGGGGGGGGGGGGGGGGGGGTGGTTAACAGGCGAACGCAGCTACCGGGTATCGCACGAGGCTGAGAAGAATAGCGCGCTGGAGGATGCTGGAGTAGTCGCAAAGCTGCGCTCTAGCTTCGTGCTGTCACTAGCTTCGTTCGATTTCCCTGAAATCATTCCTGCACCGGTGCAGGAGGTGACTAGCTTTGCTGGATTTACCTGCACTTCCTGCACCGGTGCAGAAAAGTGTAGGGTAGTGCACTTCCGGTATGTGTGTTGAGATACGACCGGAAGTACACTGCCCTACACTTTTCTGCACCGTTGCAGATAAATCGAACCATGCTACTGTCTACCAGCAGAGGAGGCGGGAAAAACCCGGAATCGGCTGTAGATATAACGGGTACAATAGTAATTAGCCCGGACAAATTTCCAGTAGGTTGCTTCCATGCTGATCTGTGCACGTTACCGAGGAAAAGAAAAGAAGTAATCCTGGTTACTCGCTTAATGAGGAACGAGTGCGTTTCTCGTTTAAAGAGTCTCAAGTGGAAAGCGTTACTTTAGGCTTATAGTAACGCGTAGTAGTAACAACATAAGGTCAGGTTGAGGTAGACAACCAGACAAACTTTGTTGGTTTTTTCCTTCGGGTTAGCGAGGGCACTTGGGGACGCTGGGACGGAAGGGTGAAAACCCCTTCATATGGGATGAGCAGAACGGTGATCTAACTCCCCTAAAAATGTAACAACAAAAAAAATCCATTCAATTTATTTTATAGGGAAGAATAAGACGCATGCATGCAAGCTTGCGCTAAAAATTGTATTAGTGATCGTTATAAGCAGACTAGTCTTTGTTAGACACGCAGCCCGATTGTAGTCGTCTTTGTTTCCTCCGATTGTTTGTGGTTTTGAACCGGAAATTCAGAGTGCGGTTACCATTCCACACAGAACAGATAATTGGTGGCCTGAATGCAATATGAACTAAGATTAGATGATGCACCATGAGTACAGGTTAATCTTAGTGTTGAGCTACCATTTACAGCACAAATATTTATTAGGAGAGAACTGAGACACTTTCCCATTTCTCCCACCACCTCACCTCCACTCTTCCCAAACTGCCTTGCACGAAACAATTCGCCAATCGTGGCAACAGGTGAGATGTCGAAAATAATCCTTGGAGAAGGGGAACGAGAGGTACAAAGGACATTGGAGATTTGTATTTGTCCTTTGTCTCTCTTGTTCCCCTTGTCCAGGGATTATTTTTGTTGTTCTTGTCCAGCTCGCTTGCACCTTTGCATTCAATCGTAGGTGAGAAGCTTAAAATAGCGGTTGTTAAAAGCGACACATCTGTTCAATGTTAGTTTACTGCAGCCGTTGGCCAGACCATTTTGGTTCAAGAATCGAGCAAAACGAACGCATGCTTCTTACTTTTGAGTGTCGAAATAGCAACCACTGGCTCAAATCGTGTAGAGCATGCCGAGCACGTAGGCCATTAGAGTTAAAAGCACCGATACCACAACGTCGTCGATCTAACAGTTCATCAACTTTTTGAAAGTATTCACTGCAGAAATGCGTTGACTGTCCCACGCCTCCCATCGTCCCATTCCTCCCCTCTCCCCTGCGTAAAACCTTTAATACATACAATGCAGTACCAAAACAGCGCTAAACATAAAGAAAAAAAAAACAACAACAACCGCATCTTCATGTGGTGAATGATGTTGATTGGGGCGAAGCTCTGGTGGTGCTTGTCTGCGTAGACGGTGAGCCGCGGCATGCCGAGCCTTTTGTTCGTTTTCATCCATGTCACGCTGCGGTCAAATGCTCAATTGCGTATATAACCACGTATATAACCATACACACATTCTCTTTCTGACATGGATGAAAACGAACGAAAAGCCCGGCATGCTGCGGCTCACCGTCTACGCAGACAAGCACCACCAGAGCTTCGCCCCAATCACCGTGGCCCCAATCAACATCATTCACCACGTGAAGATGCGTTTTTTTTTTTTTTTTTTTTTTTTTTGTTTTTTTTTTGGCCGTACACGAGCACGGGAGGACGTGCTCACGTGCTCGGGAGCACGAGCACCCGACGCCGGACATACGGACGGACATACGGACATATCTAGGCTTTGCCCCTAAAACGCCGATGCCGCCCGGATGCTGTGCCGAGTTGTCAGTTCAGCATCGATTCATCGGCGCTGTGTCCCCGCTAACCAGTGTGGAACAGCAGGTCGGCTATAAGTCTCGTGCACCACTGTGGTGTGTACCACATTGGAGATGAGTCGCGTGCAAGCCAGAGCTGCATCAGCGCCGTTTTCTAGCGCCGATTCAGCGCTGAGCCGTACGTGTTGAACCAGCCTTTACACGGACCCATTATTTACTAAATTCAGTACACATTCCAAATCACAGTAACTCTGCGAACTCGTTCTCTATACAGAAAGGTTTCCGATCCCACTAGAAATGTGTTTTTACGTGACATTTTTGAGCCATTTGTGAAACTCTGTGCGGACACTCGGTCAGTGTCGCGCTCCAGGATCGGCTGTGGCAATCGTATGTCGAGGTGCACGCTCCTCCCGGCTCTTAAATTGCTCGCGTGGATCGAATATAGAAATT